TGGCCCCTGCTGTCAGTGGAATGTATACCTGCTACATACAGGTAAGCGTCCTTTGGCCCCTGCTGTCAGTGGAATGTATACCTGCTACATACAGGTAAGCGTCCTTTGGCCCCTGCTGTCAGTGGAATGTATACCTGCTACATACAGGTAAGCGTCCTTTGGCCCCTGCTGTCAGTGGAATGTATACCTGCTACATACAGGTAAGCCTCCTTTGGCCCCTATTTTTACTGTATACCTGCGCCCTACTGCCCCAGCCAAACTGTATCATGACCTTCCTTCCTCAGCCCACTCACTTGCTTCAGGGATGGTCTGTCCGTCTTCTCTGATCGCCGGACCACACCCTGTCCGCGAGCAGGCACTCAGGAAGAACTTGTACTTGCTGACCGCCTCCAGGTCGCTCACAACCCACTTGGCGCTGTCCGGCCCGCTGATATTCACAGAGCGTGGGCTCAACAGGCCCGTGACGTTGTCACCTGTAACACGGCACATTACAGACCATCATAAATCACGGGCGCAAGGTGAGAAGATCACCATGAGTAACAGGTAGCTTAAACAGGGGGAATTCAACATATACAGTTGCAGCTGGCATCTGGAGTCGCAGTGGGTGTGGGGGGGGGGGTGCAGGTTAGAGTCACAGTGTAGCAGCATCTGAGAAAAAGCATTACACTGTGGCGGTGTGATTAGCCTTCCGTGTTTTAGTGCAAATCTCTGGGACGTCAAGCTCTCGAGGCGCCTCGCAGCAGCTCTCAAAGGCCGACTTCAGCCTTTGAAAAGATTCATGCACTTGGTTCCAGGGGCTCTAACGAGTCCCACAGTGACGGATGTAGGCATCACTCTTAACATTTAATGCCTGGCCATCTTCTAGGATGCTGAAAAAATGTGAGGGTGTTTTTTTTTTAAGAAGAAGAAGAACATAAAAAATCTGCTGGAAATGTGTAATCGTTGAGGATGAAAAGTAAAGTAAGAGAGTTTGGTGCTAAAGCTAAACCTGACTTGCATTTTTCCATGGTCCCTATAGCGATAACTGTAATTTTCCTGCAGAACTCTGCTAATTTAAATACCCTTGGGATTGCTATGCCATGAAACATTCGAGGTACTAGACTTATTGACCGTGAGAACAGCACCACCCAGTGGACAAACTGATAAGGCTAATGTTTTAAACCACCTCTCTTTTGGCTGAAATGCGTAGAGGATACAGCAGTGTCATAGGAAATGGCTTGAAAAGGCATGTGTGTACTTACTTATCTGGTACTGCAGAAGATAGCCAGTGAGAATACCGTTGGCTTTCAGAGGGGGCACCCAGACCAGTGTGATGGAGTTTGACTGGGCATTCGTTGCTTTCAGTATGGATATTTTTCCTGGAACTACAAAATAATAAGCTTCTTAAGTGTGGCCATATTGACGCTACTGCTGAGTCTAATCCAGTCTTTGTCAGAGGTTCTGTCCCCTGGCCAGCGCTCACCTCCCTCTGGTGTCCTGAAGGTGACAGGCTTACTGCCAGGGCTGCTGCCTCGCCCGTTGAAAACGCTGACTGTTAGGTTGTACTCAGAGTAAGGGACCACGCCGTGGATCTGGGTCTGGTTGCGGTCTCCGTATACGGTCAGGGACTGTTTGTCTTTCAGGGTGTGGTCCATATTCAGGAGATCCAGCAGCCTTCTTAGCTGAATCTGAGAAGGGAAAAAGACACCATGAAGATGTAGTAATGGGCACAGGGGACTGAGATAAGGAGGCGCAGTGCACACCTGTGAAGCAGGGGGGCGCTGCAATGCAGACACTCACCAAATAGCCTCGCAGATGCCCCCGCAGGTGGTGCTGGGGAACTGGTGCCCAGGTGACTCGGATGAGGGTGCTATTCATCACCTCGACGGCCACATCATCTGGGGCTGCTGTAGGTACTGTGAGAGCAAGCAAGCCACAAGCAGGCACCATTAACTCCACCCAAGCAACGTTCCTGGTGAAGAGCTTAAGGTTACCTTCTATGGCAAGGACCTATTCTCAACAAACTATCTACCTAACAAGTTCTTCGATAGTAATTGTTATACAAATACTTAATAGCATATGTTCAGTGTGATATGCAGTATTTGATGACTCTTCCAGAGCACACAGTATCTCCTGTTGAAAACCACTGTTCCAATCAATGTCAGCTGATGGAAGCAGCCAAACTAAAGCAGTGGTAGAAGGAAACATTTTCCACACTGCAACCTGTTGCTCAGAAGGACTGGCACTGAAAAATGAAATGAATCTCTGCAGGGGGCAATTACGCGAGCTGGACAGAATTGACACGATGCATCCTTCCAAAGCACACAACAGGCTTTCCACAAGATCCCACATTAATCGTAAATCAGCGAATACTCACTGTCCTCCCCTGAGTACAGCGTAAAGACTTCGGGCTCCGGTGCCCAGCCAAGGACATTTCTGGCCTGGACCTTGACCTCATACGGCACAAACGTTGGGGTGTTCCTCACAATGATATGATTCCTCTTCACCATGTGCTCTTGCCAATGCTTCTCTACACCCCGTCGTCTGTAGCTGACCTTATACTCCAGACCAGGCCCATTATATTCTATTGGTAATAATGGCTGTAAGAAGTGGGATAAACACAGAAAGTAATTTAAATGCATGTTTCATGTGGAAAATATCACCAGATCAAAGGGCAGCGACAGTCAGCATCATCCTGCCTCCTGTGTGCTACCTGGGCTCCGTTCATCTATACAAGGACAACAAACAAAACTCTCCTGTATTTCCACACTACCTCCAGTTTACAGCTGTATAATATTTTATAAGAGTAATTCTCCGCTCATTCTGCTGTCATGTCTAAGCACCATGAAAGATGACGGACCAAGAAACTGAGTTGTTCTAGTTAAAACTGACCTAATTTACAGTTTTCTACAGATTACCTGAAAGTGTCAAAAACCAAAGATTAAAACAAGGTGCTAAAAAATCTCAGGAATGCTCTGGTTCTTGTAAAATATTTAAATCCTAAGATTTAGTAAATAACACAACAAGTCAATCCCTTACCTCCCAATGAATACTCATTTCTTGTGGCGAATTGCCTTCACTTTTTATAGCTTTTGGATTCTTGTCTGGAGCTATTAGCAAATAGGAAAAAAAAAATATTTTTCAATTGTTTAATGCGCTGTATGTTGTGAATAAGGGAATAATGGAATTACTGTTTGGCTTGGCAGAGTACGAGCACAGGAATCAATCAGGAAATAAAATGAAAATATAAATAATTCTCATTAGTGCATTCAGATAGTCAAAGGATTTGCAATTTATGTTAATTTTAGAGATTTTCTTTTTCCTCATGGAAAGATAGAATTAAAATGCCGTAACTATGTAATTTGTGTTATTTTGATTCGAACCACATAATTTAAAGAAAAGCTTCAGGATACGTGCATGGCGTTATTTTAAAACAGTGTACTTTAAAGTCGCATAAAACAAGAAGCCACTGTGTTAAATTAATGAGAGGCACAGGTACTTTGAGTCAGACTAAATTGATTTTGAAACCGCATAATGTTACTGCGGTGATGGAGTGATAAAGTAGGAGGGGTAAATGGAGTGACGAAGGAGGAGCAGGCGTGAGATGAGTGGAGGGAGACGGGAGCCACACCTGATGGGGGGGTCATGTATCTTTCGGTGGGCTCGCTGGCCGGGCCCCTCCCGACGCCGCTGACAGCAGACACTCGGAAGCGGTAATCCAGGTGTCCGTGCAGCTGCAGCCTGGCTGAGGTGTGGTTCCCCGCCACTCTGCTCAGCTCCTTCCACCTGCCCGGTTCCCACTGGCTTTCCTCATACTCAATGATAAAATCTGCCCAGAAAATAATGTAAGGTCCAGAGTCTCATACACAACATACAGAGACGCAGCTTCATGTCCGAAAGCAAGAGCTTTGGTCACAGCGATGCGTGTCCTGAAAAAGGAGACATGTCTCTTACCAGTTATAGTGATGTTGTGGGAATCCCCAGGAACCCAGTACAACTTCACACTTCGATTCTGGTGTTCCGCAAGAATGAGGACTAACGGCCTACCGGGGACATCTGAGAAAATATGATGGCAACTTAAAACAGAACACCACTGCCAATTAAACACACAAAGGTATGCTATTTAAAAATATAATCACACAAATAATGGTTTGTTTCAAAGGCTATAATTCTTTATTTAGCGAATTCCTTTTTTTCTAAAGTGCAATAGAAGTGACGAAAGCTTGGGGTCAGACAGCAGGGTCGGCCGCTGTCCCTGGAGTGCTTGGGGTTATGGACCCAACGGTAATATGATTACTTGGCCAGCCATGGGATTTGAACCCATGACCTTCTGGGTTTGGACACAGAGTCCCCTGCATTATGAATAATGACAGCTTTGACTGACTAAACCAAGGTACCCCAATAGCTGTCCTGGTGGGTCAGTCTGCTACACAATTTGCAGATTTCCTTGCTCAAACACACCTATTAAACTTGGCAATTAGTTGGTGGGATTAATAAGGTGTATTTGAGTAGAGAAATCTGTAAATATGTTGCGGACTGGAACTGGGGAAGCCTGATTTAATCCAAGTGTACATCATAGAATTTTCATTGCCGCAGTTTGGGACTGGCATGCAGGATTTGTCAAATGTTCATACATTTTTTAACATTAACAATGCATTTTAGTAAATGAATAAATTCTATGTTTCACTGCGGCTGTAACAAATTAATTCATTTACATTTATGAACCGATTGACCATACAGAGACTATTAACTGAAAAAATTGTGTATAGTTCAGCTTGCTTTGTATATAAGCTAAGCTGTATTGTGCTATTTTCTAAGCAAAAACACAGCTACAACCTTTGTTTACTGAGACTGGGTCAAGCACAGAGTAGTCAGGTGCCTCACGACCTCAGTATTGCTGAGCAGAGCTGCCAGCCGTCACTTACAATACAGCGTCATCCCATATAACACAGGACCCAGCAGGTTATTTTCCAATGCAGCACATTCCTGTATTATAAGGGACTGCTGGAAACCCTAGTGCAGAGTGAGCGAATAACTCACCCAGTACTGTGAGCTGGGCCACTGCCCGGTCCTGGTCCAGCCCAGTCCGGGCCACACATGCATAAAAGCCATGGTCACTGTGACTCACATTGACAATCTGAAGGACTCCGCCCTCCACAATGTATCTGCCCAGAATCATAAAATCATTCATTCTGAAGTAACTCATAAATACATATCTGACACCCACTTATACAGTTCAAACTGCTCCACAATTATTCGAAGTTTATCAGCATTCCTGTATAATGGAATTGCCATCCTCCATTATGTAAGGTACGGTACTGAAATGCCAACCCCATGTTGATTACGCATGTTTCTAGGTCACCTTACCTAGGATTCTCAGTAATACTGAGGGATGTTCCTCCTTTCTCCCAGCGTATCTCAAAGTCACGCCTGAGAGACTTGTCATACTCCGCCTGGCATGTGAAGTTTGCCGTCGCCCCCTTAAGAACTTGCAAATCCTGTGGTGGTTCCATAATTTTGGTTGGATCTTACAGATGGGAAATAAGCAGAGGAAATACTTTACTGAAAAGACAGCAAAAGCGCCTCTGCAGAAATGTGAACTTCTGAACCTACTTTCATCTTAATTCAGACAGATAATGTTTCTGATGTTAGCTTCGCAGGGAAAACATTTAAAGCACCATGTCCTCATATCCAGTTTATACTGGAATTTGTACCTTTTATGTGCAGTGCAGCAGAGATTGAGGCTCTCCCCTCAGCGTTTGAGGCAAAGCAGCTGTACATCCCAGAGTCCGTCTTCTGAACAGAATGGATGCACAACGATCCATCTTTCTGAATGGAGAACCGCTCTCCCTCCACAGAATTAATCCTTTCTTTGTCTTTAGTCCTGTTGGCCAGTGGAGGCACTCTAGTGAATCTCAGTGAATCTTTAGTGAATATCTAGTGAATCTCAGTGAATCTCTAGTGAATCTCTAGTGAATAATGAATCTCAGTTTCCTACTTTGGATGCAGTAATTGTTATATAGTCACTCAGGGCTTTTGCACTATATGATAAGCAAAAAAACTTGTCATTGTCTTTGTCTGGCATGTACAGAGGCCGTGTTCTAAGGTCCTCTGATCAAGGATTCATTTGGACAAGACTACAAGCGCGCAGTGATCAGGCATTTCAGGTTGTTGCCCCAAGGCTGCGGGATGATCTTCCACCACCACTGTGTTTTGCAGACTCTGTTGAAGGTTTTAAAGGGCAGCTTAAATCTTACCTTTTTACTCAGGCTTGTGGTCTTATGAAATCATGTTTTGACTCTAATTTTCACTTGTTGTATATATTATTATTGTTGTTTGGATTTTTGTTTTATGTTTTCCTGCATGTTAGTCTTGTACAGATGCTTGGTAAATAAATTCTACAATCCTAACTAAGCGAGCAATTTATCTGTGCATCTGGAATGTTGCCATGACAGAACTGGTAGAGAGGCCCACCAAGTGATGTCAGAAGGGGGAGGAGCCTGGGCCTTTAGGTCCCCCTTGACTGAAGGGAAGGCTGGGTTACCCACCAGGAGATTACAGAAGGTGGTGAGCTGAAGGTCCTGCAGTGCAGAAACACTGTTGCTCCCATCATAGCTCCATACTCTTGCTTGTCTTCTGTCAGGATCATGGGGGCGAGGTCTGCAGTGAGAAAGCTGAGTCATTCCAAGCATCGTGTCTTTGACTCAGAGTAGCTGGACTGACAGGGGTGGCCACCTAGGGTGCCATCTTAGCAAACCTCCAGTGCCGCCCCCAACCCCCCCAAGCAAGGAGAGTGCCAGGCATTTGTGTGGGGGGGAGGGGCAATGAAGTTTAAGGGTGGACATTACTCCAATTACTCCAATGTGCACTGACCGGCTGCACAGACTGCACTGCACTGACCGGCTGCACTGTATCGACTGACTGCACTGCACCAGCACTCAGCACTCCAGACTAGTAGCGGTTTGCCATCCTTTATCAATTACATGTCAGCTTGTTTCTCCCCACTACCATTACCACAGAATGAATAAAGGATGAAAACAGCTGGCAGCGCAGAAGTGCACACAATGGCCCCGGGTTTGTGAAAGAGACACTGAAAGAAACTCATTCAGTTCATTCATTGCAATGCAGGCTGAGATCATGACTGAGGCACACTTACAGAAGATAAGTGTAGTGCTATCTGAGAAGGCAGGACCGGGCTGTAGACTACGCCACGTGGTGCCTGCGATAGGCTATAGGCACCACCACAACCTTGTACTGGATTAGCACTTGAGGGGCTGAAATATACATTCGTACCAGCCAATTCTGTTGCTTTTGCACTGTTTTTATTTCTGAAGAATACCAAGTATCAATACTGTGCTCACGATCCATTAAAAATGAATCAGGAAACGGCTCTACGAGATGTTTACTTGTTACTTTTAAAATATGACAAAATGTTTCAGATTCAGCTAATAATTATAAATACAGAGCTGTAAAGTGTGTAAAGTGATCAGAATAAAAGTATGTGCTAAGTAACAGAATGATGTCATTTACATGATGCGGTTACTCACTCAGGACCATGACGTTGGCGTTGGCTAGGATGGTGCCGTGCCTGTTGGAAGCCTGGCACTGATAGACGGCACTGTCCTGTGGTGTGACGTGGCGCAAGAGCAACTCGCCATTCAGAATCTGTCTGTGGGACGCTGGAAGATCTGAAAGAACGGATTCAGCCGCTTAGCTTCACACCAGTTTACGGTTCTAGGAGACTTCTCAGGAGAAGCGGAAGCCTTAGAGAAGCGAGCGCCTCTCTCGGTACCTTCGAGGACGTGTCCGTTCATCATCCAGGTGATGGTTGGCGGGGGTTTGCCAGTGGCGGAGCATGAAAGCCGCACATCGGACCCAGGCGTACCTAACACATTTTCGGGTTTCCGCACCCAGCGGGGCGGCTCTTGAGACAAGACAAACATAGTCAATAAACATTATACTCTGTTCTAGTAGTAGAAGAATGACCCATATTCCCAGCCTGTGGAAGTTTTGCTTACAAAAAAAAAGTTCTGAGGGCAGAAGGAACAGTGATTGGTTCAGAGAGATAACCATGTAGAGGAGGTGGGACCAAGACATTTGATTGGTTGGTCCCTCCTCCTCTAGTTGCTTGGACCCACCTCCTCTACAGTCTGATTGGTTACCTCTACACGTGAAAATGTCCATAAACAAGAGCACATGTCTGGGTTTTGTTTACAATAGCTGGGAAGCTGCAACCTTTTATTTTGTGACATGAGAGTTTTCACTAAGACTTGCGGTAAAAATATGTTGCTTCAATTCATGAATAACTGTGAATTTGGGTAAGCAGTAACTTACCCAATTACAAAATGTCATTTGTTGTCTAATTTTGATTGCTACTGTAAAAACGTGTCTTCATAAATATATGCAAACTGTTGGTAACTAGTTGCTCACCTTCCACTATCACGTGAAAGGCATGGGCGGTGTTTCCTGCGGAGTTCCCCGCCTCACACGTGTACGTCCCGTCGTCTTCTGCGCTCACCCCGGATATCGTGAGGCGCTTCCCGTAGTTCAGCAGGTTAGCTTTGGCCGGCAATGTCTCTTCCATTTTTGCCCAGTGAATCACCGGTGTTGGACTTTGTGCGACCCAAATAAGAAAGCATATATTCTACTGAAAATGGTACTTTTACCTTAGTTTATGCTCATACTTCTCACATACTATCCTGCCACGTGATTATATGAGTAGGACACTCACAGCCCCTCTGGTATGCACTCTAGGTGCAGATCGTCCCCATCAGCCAGCCGTACCACCGTCTCAGCACCAGGGGGAGACATCAGCCTGGGTTTCCTCAGTAGGGTAGCATTACCTTTAAGGTGGATAAAAGGTTCTTTGATCAAATGGTTTTGGATACACCACTAAACCAGTAGATTTATCCAGAAAATGTATTTTAAAACTATTAAATTAAGGGAATCAAATACTCTGCCCAACATTTTTGTTATTTCAGTTTAATTCCATTTTTAGTTTAGTGGGTGTAATCACAATACTTGAAACTAACAGTTCTTGACTTGAATACACATAGCATGAATTAATGTGTAAATTGAAGTTAAGAAAGAGTAACAGGGATACTTCACTTACTGACAGCCGCTGCCTTGTCTGAGTCATTTGTAGACTTTGCTGGGAAAGAAAGATAATGCATATAACAAGGAAGAATAAATCAATATAATAAACAAAATATAAATTACAGAGATCAAACATGACCAATAACACTGGTAAAATGCATTGAAAAGAAGGACATGTCACACTAGCATAATGAGAATGACACCGCGAAGCAGGGTGCCAGTCGCTTGCATTGCGTACCGCTTATGACCACCACAGTCATGGCTGTCTTCTGGACTATAGTGCGTATGTTGGGGAAGAACGCAAAGCAGCAATAATCTTGGCGGCTGTCCTTCTCCACGGCGTTGGAGAAGTAAAGGTTCCCGTCCAGGCCGACGGACACCCGCTCATCCTGCTCAATGTACTTCAGATCTGAGGGCAGCACAAGGAGCGAGCTTCCACTTCATAATTCAGATATACGTGGCAAAGTGAGCAGGCACCGCAGCGTTATTAAAAGCGGGGAAGGTCCTTTAGCATGGGCTCGCAGTGCGTTCTTCCAGTTCTGCCCAGTGAAGCACGGAGTCGTACTGTGTTTTTTTACAGTAAACTATATCAGCTCATTATTTTCACACAAGTGCTTCCATCGATGCGTCTTTCAAAGGTACATTTCGCGAAGATGTATGTGACTTCATAGCTGACATGACCTTGCTTGCATTCTTGGACAGGGGTAGGGGGGGGGGGTCAAATTCTTAGCTCTAACTGATCAAGACTGTTGATAGCTTGTTTTGTTTTTTTTTAATGTTTGTCATATCACCAAGTCATATACCTTTGAAGATATCATTCCAGGAAATCACATAGTTTCGACATAGTAACACTGTTCACGGTAAAATACCACCAACTGATATCGAACACATACTTTCTAACACTAGAGTATGTACTGCTCTAATGACCTTTCGTGTGTTTCTTGGTTTTTGAAACCTGCACTAGTTGGAACATAAGCCGTTTCTACAATAACTGAAGTAATTCTGAATGTTTAGGGTCTCACTCACCTACAGTCATCCAGTAGATATCTCTGGGGGGTATTCCTGTAGGGGGGTTGCATTCCAAGACAATGGGCTGGCCCTCATCCACCACAATGGGTTTGATGGTTTCTTTGGGGAATTTTGGAACATCTATCCATGGAAATGAAGAACAAGGAATTTTGTTTGTGTGCATTAATAAGGGAAGGGGTGTAACAGAAACCCGATCTGACACACAAATCCGGTCCAAGTGTCTGTGATTTGTCCGAATTGATTCAAAACAGCCAATCTGGCTCAAATTTAATAGAAAATCAGCCAAAACAAAAAAAAGCTATCAAAAATCAATATATCTATGGTGTCATTCTTACTAGTTGTTACTGTAAAATAGTTTATAAGATGTTATTTACTTCAATTTATTTAGCTGTAGTGTATATATAGAAAACTGTATGATTACAGATGATCCCACTTTTTATTAAAAGCTGTCTGGAGATAAGCTGCCACTGGCTTCCTTGTAAAACCTATAAGTGGTGAGCAAAATGAAATCATATCTTATGAGAAATCTAATGTGATGTGATGTGTGAAAGAGGAAATGCACCCTGCAAGTTGTATGGAAGATTTGAACCGAAAGACTGAACAGTTCGTTCCTCACTGGGCACTATGAAGTCTGTCTCCTCGGTTACGGCCATCCCAAGCTTGTTTGAGGCAAGGCAGCGATATCTCCCTCCGTAATGAGTGATGTTTCTGCCATTGGGGATGACAAAGGTCCCAGAATTCCCCTCCTTCATCAGCTGGTGATCCTGGTGTGGGTTGAAACTCTGTCCATTTTTTGTCCAATGGTATCTGATAGAGGGAGTGAGATCATCGACTATATTCCTGGACATGACACAAACCAAACTAATGGTACATTCCTACAGGACAACGGACGTGGATATATATCGATAATAAGATTTAAGATTTAATGTTTTAAGCAAATGCCAGGCCCAGGCTTCAGTCAAAAAGAGAGCTGCTCGCTGAGGAGACGCCCCTCACCAGATGCCCCTCACCGCACTCACTCTGGTGCGGGGTTTCCTCTGGCGTCACACTGAGGAGACGCCCCTCACCGCACTCACTCTGGTGCGGGGTTTCCTCTGGCCTCACACTGAGGAGACGCCCCTCACAGCACTCACTCTGGTGCGGGGTTTCCTCTGGCGTCACACTGAGGAGACGCCCCTCACTGCACTCACTCAGGTGCGGGGTTTCCTCTGGCCTCACACTGCAGGGTGAAGTTGTCTTCAAGTGGAAAGGCGATGAGGGAGCTTGGCGCCTGCTTTGTGATGGTGGGCGGCTGTTCAACTGCAGTGCAAAAAAATGAAAATGAAAACAGCCCCATTCCTCCTTTCTGCTTTAGAAACAGAATGATATTGTAATTTAATTAGAATTATATGTACATGTAAAGACAATAATGACAACATCAGGAGTTGAGGTGAAAAAGGTCTAGGATTTTTTTTTACATAATGCAGTGATGAAAGGTAAGGCATTTCCTGTGTGCTGCAGTCAATTCATTTCAACTTTAGTTACTGTAGGTGAAACAACGGATAGCTTTCTGTACATTTTGTTTCTAGAAGCATCTGTTTCAGGCCTAGTGACCCTGGCTCAGAAGACTACCATCTGTGATGCCACCCAGCACCTTACTAATGTGGTGACACATCATAGCCTCAGAATTACATAATTGCCTTTACATTGGGGGAACATCTTGACCGAAGTTACGGAAGAAAATAATCATTTTTGAGAGACGCAGGGGGCCTCAGATTTTGGTTCCCACTCCCTAGATTTGAAGTCTGCATTTTCCCCCCAAATTTAATCAAGGTGCTCCACTTTTCTCCCACAGTTCACAGACATGCCGTTATGCTAAAACAGCCACAGTCTGTGAATGTTTGTGAGCGCGTGTCCTGCACTGGACTGGCACCCTGTCCACGTCCTGCAGTGCACTGGCACCCTGTCCACGTCCTGCAGTGCACTGGCACCCTGTCCACATCCTGCAGTGCACTGGCACCCTGTCCACAGTTTTAGTCCAGCCTTGTTCCCTAAGCTGCTGAAGAACTACTGATAAAGTATAAAAAAATCACGTGCACTTTGTTTCAAAGTCAGTGTATTTTTCAGTATTTTGTCATCTATAAGGAAATAAAGCAAATAACTGCTTTATTGGTTTGGCAGAGACTACAAAAAAACAAAAATATGTATGTTTCACAACTTAACAGCAAAATTATTGAGAACATTGACAAGCAGTATGTAATCAATGAAATAAGGTCAGGCCTTGCAAGAACAGATACACATGTTGCTGATTTTGAGTTAGACCTCAGTTAAAATGAGCCAGTTCCCAGAAGTTGTGTTAGTGTTTAGCTCAGCTTACTCTCCAGTGGAATTTCCAGGCCGCACACACTGAGGCACACGGTGAGAATGACAGCTACACCCAGGATCCAAGGGGACCCCATGGGGCGGCTGCTGACGGAGGAGACGAGCTCTCTGAGAAACGTGACGCGTGACGGCACCATCCCACTCACAGAACCTGCAAAAGCAGCAGACGCACAGCTGTCAGTGCAAGCAGCTCAAACAGTGAGTAACAGAGGCCCCTGAAGACTCTTCGTCTCAACGAATCTAATCATGTTTCTTTGAGGCTTTTAATTTGATATTTTACTGTTGTAAAGCAAATGGATTTCACATGAAAAGTCAGACCATATGTAACATGTATTCGCACACATAACTGACATGCAGTTTATCTGACAAATACGTCCTTAGGACAAGGAAGAAAATCACACCCTAAAACATTCTCGCTTAACCAGCAACCATGAACAGCCTATTATTAGCATGCCACCAACATAGCTCCATGCCTCCAACAATTCAGAAGCAGTACTACTACTTCATATATTCCCACCACCACCACCACTACTACTACCCTATTACTCATGTTACTACTCCTACTACCATACTCCTCCTCTTCCTACTCATGCTCCTACTATTACTCCTACTACTATGCTACTAGTCTTCTACTGCTGCTGCTGCTACTACTACACTACTATAACTACTACTGCTACTTTTACTACTAATACTACTACTAATAATAATTATTATTACGATAATCATGATAATAATAACAAATACAAAAAAGTAACAAGAGTGTCAGACATATAAGAATATCAGAAAAACAGAAACAAGCATCACCTCCTATAGAAGATGAAGTCCTATCCCCCTTAGTACTGCAGCCCTAGTGCTACGGACAAGACCAAAGAGAGGAGAGTGGCCTCAGCTGGCATTCAGGGCTCACATTTGGATACCATCAGTATACAAGGCAAAGAAGCTGGCATGTATGAGGTGTGAGGGACGAGTATGCAGAGCGGTTCACAGGTAGAATTACCGTGCAATGATAAACAAAAGGAAAATAAAAGGCAGAGTACAGGTCAATTATAGGGTACACACACATATGTCGGGTAAACATTCATTTCAATGGGAAAAATGCTAACGCTAACTATAACCCCTACCCAGCCCTAACCATAAGTAACCAAACAAAATACAAGCCTTTTGATATTATTCATTTTCTGATTGCACTCACAGGTTTTTATAAAATTGAGTTCACCTGTATGGGGACTGAAAAACATGTCCCCACAATGCCAAAATAACAGGCTATTATCATATGGTGGGGACATTTGGGGACACTTGCAAACAGGGCAATTTAATGACAATTTATAAACCAACTAAACTACATGTTTTTATACTGCAAAAGGAAACTGCAGTCCATAGAGATAACATGGAGGATTATTTTTTACTCATGTATTAACTACACAACTACTACTACTACTACTACTACTACTACTACTACTTCAGTATGTGAGGTTCAAAAAACCAACTACATTTACTATGTTGCAATACAACATAACTCTGCTATGGAATGAAGCACAGATCAAACCAGAGAAAAATTACTGAAAGGTCCCTATATCACACAGACAATCCCACGCCCATCGGTCTGTTCCAGCCAGACCACACAGCATGGATGTACCACGTGTGATGTGGGCTTCTGCAGAAGCAGTGAAATCCCAACAACCTGACTGACTGAGAGGCCAAGGCCAGACTGATGAGTGGTTCTTGCACATCTTCATTTTCCTGAACCATTCCAGTTCAGTCCAGGAGTAATTAGGTGAAAAACCAACAAACACACCCTGACTGTTTGGGGCTACGCTAAAATCATGGTGCCACATCCCAGCTGGTGCCACATCCCAGCTGGTGCCACATGGTGTCATCCAGAGGAATTGTTTATCAAGAAGGGTTGCAACAATGTGAGATTTTCAAATATGCCAAACTTATTTTAGTTCATAGTGAACCAAAGTATACCAAAATTCCATATCACTGGACAGCAGCAATTTCAACTAATGAAAATACAAAGTAATATTGCAGATATGGGATATTTGGGTAATAGTGTTGAGCCAAAAACTGTAAATTGACTTCTGGAGTGACCACTTAACCCTCGGAAGTCTGAGGCCTCTCAGACACTTTCGGGGGAGTCTGACATGCCTTGACATTTTAAAATAGTTTACCTATCTAAAACACATTTATCCCAACACGCTACAAATGCTTTTATCAAGCACAAACCCAGCAGAAATAATCCGAGACCATTTAGAATGTCATTCTTTTAGTTTTTGTTTAAAGAAACTTCAACCAATCCTATGACAGACATCCTGTGACAGCACCACGCTTGAATTCACTGATCTTTTCAGAACAACCCATTCTTTCACAAATGTTTGTAAACCTGACTCCATGACTAGGTGCTTGATTTTATACACCTGTGGCTATGGGTCTGAATGAAACACCTAAATTCAATGATTAAGAGGTGTATCCTAATATTTTTGTCCACATAATGCACAATTTATTTTTGGTAATGAACTGACCCCTCCCCCAAAACCCCAGCATTCCACAGCCTGGTGTTACAGTAGAAACACTTGTCTATGCAACAACCCTGTTTCTGTTCCAAGTGAAATCCACAAAAACAGATATAAAGAGAGTAATGGCAAACACCCACAGGTGATGCCCCTTCTGACAACTACTAATCTGCCCCGTCTATGCTGTCAACACATCACATACTTTCATGTGGTCCCGGCTCACCAATTTGCCTCATTAGACACGCCGATATGTAAGGCACCTCCTCATTCGGCTCTGAGTCGAAAGAAACATTTCAAAGCGTCACGGCAACAGTGGAAATGCACACGCACACAAGAAAACTGACCTTTATGTCACCTCCTCAATGCATTAATTCCGCAAGCCAAAAAGTCGAACGCAAGACCTTCGGAGTTAAACTTTTTTGTCCTGTGCCACCGTGACAAAGGTCGATCTGGACAGTGATCTGACTGCAACAAGATGGTTTATTCAGATCAGGCAGCAGCCGTCAGAATCCCTCACAGTCAAAGGCACTGCAGCCGTGCAACGTGCTACCTGTAATGTGGAATAAGGCCATTTATAAATGACTCCGACCAAGGATGGGAAGACAATACTCTACTAACCTTAGTTAACTTGATAGGAATATGTCCAAAAACACTGTTTATAGAAAGAGGAGTTATATGTTGTACAATTAATCTGTTATAGTATCATTTATATCCTGTTCTCTGTTTACTTGAGAGACTTCATTAAATACTAGGTCTCCTCTTTAATGTTTTTAATGCATTTAGTAAAGTTAGGAAATACTAATTACAAATGCCCTGTACTAACCAACATGTCAGACATATTTATTAAACAGAAAACAGCTGTGTTAGTCCACATTACATACCAATGCATTAGATCCTTTGGCTCTGTTAGCCTTTTGCTTCATTGTGAGTTTTTTGGTTATTGAAAAGAAAACACTGACTGCTGTTTTAGACTAAAATATTTAAACTAAATGGAGAAAACACTGGGAACATCTTTATTGCTTGTGGTTACTGGCCTGTTCCAACAGTTATGGATCCTTGATTCTTATAGTTATAATTACTAGCTTTAAATGCGATAGAATAATCAGTTTTATTGCTACAGTTAGATCCGTAAGTATTCGGACACTAATGCAATTTTTGTAATTTTCTCTCTGTATATCACTCCAATGGATTTGAAATTAAGCAATCAAGATGTGATGGAAGTACAGATTTTCAGGTTTAATTTAGGGCCTTCAACAAAGCTATTAAATTAAGCTATCAGAATTTCAGAGGCTCAAAGGTAACTGGGCAAAGTGATATAAAATATATGTATTGTTTTAATACCTGGATGAAAATTCTTTGCAGCCAATGACTGCCAGAAGTCTGGAAGCCACTGACATCACCAAAACCCGAGTTTCCTTCCTTGAGATGCTTTGCCAGGCCTTCACTGCTGCTGCCTTCACTGCTACTTGTTTATTAGTCTGATTGCCTTCAGCTTTCAGTAACTGAAAAGCATGCACTTTTAGGTTGAGATCAGGCGATTGACTTGGCCATTGAAGAATATGCCATTTCTTTACATTGAGAAAATCTTTTGTTGATTTTGCAGAATATTTTTGGTCATAATCCAATGGCACTGTTAAGCGTTTTCCAATCGGTTTTGCAGCATTTGGCTGAACCTGAGCAGAGAGAACAGCCCAATACACTTCAGAATTCATCCTGCTACTTCTGCCAGCAGTCACATCATCAATAAACACCAGTGACCCAGTTAAATGGGCAGCTTTACACACCCATACCATAATACTGCCTCCACCATGTTTGGCAGACGATGTGCTACGCTTCCGATCATGGGCTGTCCCTTTCTTTCACCGTACTTTTCTCTTCCCATCAGTCTGGTACACGTTGATCTTGGTTTCATCTCTGCAAAGAACCGTATTACAGAATTTGGCTGGTTTTTTAAGATGTTTTCTGGCAAAGACTAATCTGGCCTTCCTGTTCTTCAGTGTTACCATTTTGCATCTAGAGGTAAATCCTCTGTATTTACATTCATGAAGATGTCTCTTGATTGTAGACTTTGACAGTGATACGCCTACCTCCTCCTGAGTGCTCTCGAGCTGGCTAAGTGTTGTGAAGGGTTGTTTCTTCACCAAGGAAAGTATTCTGCAATCCTCCACATTAGTTGCCTTCTGTGGTCTCCCAGGACTTTTGGGTTTGCTAAGCTCACCAGTGCATTCTTTCATTTTAAGAATGAACCAAATTGTTGGTTTGGGCACTCGTCAAATTTTAGCTAAATCTCTGATATTTTGTTTTTTCAGCCTAATGATGGCCTCCTTCACTTGCATTGACACCTCTTTGGACCTCATGTTGAGTTCCAGTGAATAGCTACCAAATGCAAATTCAGTGCTTGGAATCATCTCCAGACCTTTAATCTCAGACCTTTAATGTCATGGAGTAACATGGGAAGAGGGCACACCTGGCCAAGAATCTGTGTATCAGTCACATGTTCAATTGCTTTTCAGCTTCTGAAAATAAAGGGACTCTGTGAAAAATGGCTGTAATTTCTGAAAGCTTAATGCAATGCCTTTGTTAAACCCCTTAAATTGAAGCTGAAAGTCTATACTTCCATCACATCTCGATTGCTTAA